AACAACCAAGGGACAACTATAGTTGAACAATTTAAAGAATTATATCTTTAAATAGCCACTCGTAAAATATATCTTATAAATGGTCATTATCAATTGTAGTATTGAAAAATGAGCAAGAGCTCAGTAATAACACGAGTTTTATCAATTCTCCCTGTACTTACTGTCATTTAAGTCTCATCTAAGAGAGAGAGAGGAAGTGTTTCAAAAGCAGCATGTTAAAAATAGTAAAAAAGATATGCAATAAAAAACAGTAACTGATTTTATGCTACCAATAAACAAAATTATTTTTACCTGAATTAAAAGTTAATTTCCAGCATTGCTTAATTAAGATTCAGCTTCTCTCTATTGACTAATGATTAATAAAAACTATTGACTAATGATTAATAAAGTAAATTTCACATATTAAATTTACAAAATTAAAACCATGTTTCAACAGTAAGCAAAATAATCAAGTGATGACAAAGGCAACTAAAAAAAAAAGAACAAAATTATGTTTGGAAAAAAAAAAAAAAAAAAAAAAATTCAAATCATTTAAAATTGAAACTGTTATTAATTGTTACTATAAATAGTAAAATTCATACCTTGCTTTATTCTAAAGTGTCTAACATAAAATCAAATTAATAGACATCAACACCGCTTGACAATGAATTCTGGCAAGTAAGTTTTCTGTTCATCGAGCAGAATTTCTTACATTTCAACGACAATTAATTTTATCAGGCCTACATCTATCTCTATTTGTCAAGCTAGAGCCTCTCTTTCAACGTCGTCAAGTTGCATCTCTATTCTACAAATACTAACATGGTCCCTACTTAAAGGAGCTTTCATCTCTAGTTCCATAAACTCATTTTTGCTTGACTCGTCATTTAGCAAAGTCTCACCTCTTTACTGTATCTGTCCCTGTATGCCATAAAAATTTTTATTTGTTTAGTTTTTTTCCCTTAATTGAACCCTTTGGAACTTTCTCCTGTAATCATGTTTTTCTAACTCATACAGCCTACAAATTTTTAAGTCTTGTGTCAACCGAATTGTTACTCTTTAACTCTATTCTTTATTTTCTAATAACTTAACAGTTATTAGAACTTTAAAATAACAAAAATGTGTCAACTCTGAATGTAACAAATACATTATAAACAAATTTAAAATAACAAAAATGTGTCAACTCTGAATGTAACAAATACATTATAAACATTTGCAGCCACTTGTTAAAAGAACACACAAGACTTATTTGGTGTATAACTTATATAATTATACACCAAAAACATATAATTACAAATAATTGTATTTGATAGGAAGAACTTTTTATTTGATCTTACTGGACACACGTTATTTTGAAATATTTCTTTTAAGGCAATGATCTCTAATCTTCTCCGCATTTTATCAAAACTTTTAATAAGGCTAGCATATGCAAATATTTCATCTTTTAATCTTTGATCTATAGGCTGGAATATAGCAGCTCCCTAATTATACAGAAAACAATAAATTATAAAAAAAAATCCATAAAAAAGCAGCAGACTATAATTAAAACATTTATGTTTACTTAAGTATGTAAACAAAATTTATGATGACATAGTTGACATTTCTCAGCTAGATCTCAGTTGATATAAAGCCTAGATCGAATTGTATAAAAGCTGGCATACCAAATAAAGATAGATGGATATCAAAAGGTAGATAGATGCTAATGGTAGAAAGATATCACAACAAAGTAATACAAAAAAAAATCTTGAAAAATCATTAACGAATTCATCAAAGCTAAATTCTTCTAACTTTTTCTTTAAATCAATTACTGAAATGGCATTGACAACGTTTCTATGCAAACAATAACACTTTTTAACTACAGTGGGTTGCCAAATTATTAGAGACACTTCACTTTTTAAGTAATTTTAAAGTACAAACTATAGTTATTTTTTTATTGCTTTTATTGGTAGAGAGTTTTATTTAGAATATAAAACAACATAATTATTTATTCATTGCTATTTATTTTTTTATAAAAAGTTTGAAAACATGACAAATAAGGTAATAATCTTAATATTTTGTAATGCCACCTTTAGTTACAATAACAGCTTTCAGGCGTCTGGGCATGCTATCTGTGTAGACTTCTGCATTGTGTTGGAGACTGAGGTTGCTATTCCACTCTCTTATAAGGGTTTCTAGCAATTGCTGCTTGGTAGTGATAATTTTTTTTGGCAATTTTCTGTTTTATGAACTGTCATAAATTTTCTATAGGGTTAATATCAGGTGAATTCCCTAGCCATGGCAAACATGCACTTTTTTTTCAGTTAGGAATGCTGTAACACTTCTAGCTATACGGGACGATGCTGAGTCATGCATGAACATATACTCTTCATTACCAGGGAACCATTCTTAGACCTGGAGCAGGAGCCTGTTTTCCAGTAATCGCTTGTAGGAAGGAACCATGTGGCAGGACCAATCCTGCTTCATGGTTCCTTCCACAATGTAAAGGCAGCCCATACCCTTGGCTGAGATCACAGACCCCACCCCTACACTAACAGGAAGTTGAACCTTTTCCAAAAGGCAGTCCTGGTGAAATTTTTTAAATTTTGAAATTTTAAATTCTGGGCATCGTCAAACAAATGAGCTTTTGTCCATCAAAATTTGAAATGTTGATTGGTCCGAGAAGCAGACCTGTAAAACATTTTAAAGATATTTTACCTGCAAAATATTTCAAAGATATTTCAAAAATAAATATTTATCATTAAATTCTTCTGGTTTCTTACAATATTATAAATTATATTTACTCTACTCCAGTCTTCAATAGTTATATTCTGGTGTTTTCTAGCCCATTCCAGTCGCTTTTTTTTCATGGCTTCAGTTAAACATTCTTTTTTTGGTTGGACGATAACACACTAAATTCTCTTCAACCAACTGTTCTTGACGTAAATTCCTTCATTGTTAATAATTACAGCTAGTTGAGCCACACTTTTTTTTTCTGTTTTCAAGACAGATGTCTTTAAATTTACGGTCATAACATGGAGAAGTGATCCTTTTCTGCCACTTTTGCTGACATGGTCTGGTTCTAGAGTCACATTTGTATCATTTTTTTTAAAAATTTGACTCACTACTGACTTTGAAACGCTTGCAACCTGTCTCTGAGAATGTGTAGAATGAAGAAGTAAGGTTTTTACTTTTCTGTTTTTTTTTTTGGGGTAAAGTCTGGAGACTAAAAAATTTAAAGAGAGGTAAGAATAGTTGTATGTCAGGATTTATGCATTAAAAGTAGCAAAAATACTAAATTAATAACTAAACTAATTGAACTATTAACGAATATTTAGGTTTCAATAGTTTTAAACTCAAAAAACTTGCAAAAAGTTGTTCCAAAAATAAATAACTGAAATCAATTTTGAATTTTTGACTTTCAACCACACTTTTCAAAAATTGACAGCTAATTGAGTAATAACCTAACTTTTTGACAGATCGGGTTATCACAAATTGCCACAGTTTAAAAACAACTATAGTTATATTAGTGACTAAAATACACTCAAAATTTTTTATTTAAAAAAATTTATTTGCTTGCAAAAATCATTTAAACTTTAAAATTACTTAAAAAGTGAAGTGTCCCAAAAAATTTGGCAACCCACTGTATATGGTTTGTAAAAAAATTGGTCTCAACAAAAAGTTTTTAACAAAATGTCTTCTCGACCTTTGATTATGGCCTCTGTAAGCTTACCCAATACTTGTGGAACGCAATTCTAATTGATAATATCATGGTTGTTTATAAGTTCAAACATTTTAATGAGATCGCTGTTTTCTCTTCTATTTGATAGAATTTGTAAGCCCATTTCTTTTAATCTTTGCTCGTAACTTGCTCCCTTTCTTTTGTAGCCAATTTTTGCGGCTTTTTGTTGGACTTTTTCGATAAAATTTATATCTTTATTAAAATATGAATTCCATATTTAAGATGCATATTCCAAGAAGTATTTGAAAATTTTGAAAATATTTTGAAAATTTAGAAAATAACTCAATTAGAAAATAAATAAATAAATCACTCTACACAGTTTGATCTTGACATCTTATTTAACTGGAAAAAAAAAAAAGGATAATCAGTTTTAATAAGGATAAATGTGAAATCATGCAATTTGATCGTAGATAAAGTACACTTTAATATACATAATGCTACAGAAACAGATATCATTTTTTTTTACAATAGTACAAGCTTCCTTCTTCCTACTTCCAATAAAATATTTTATTGATTGCTCGTAAAAATGATTGATAGATCAGTTTTTTTCATTGATACACTTAATAGCTTTAGCAGACTGTGAAAATCAGTGGCAAGTTTTAGGGGGGGAGGGGCATGGAGTAGTTGCCCCCCCCCCCCAATTGGGATTGACTATTATAGGTAATTGACTATTATAGGTAATTATACATATATGAACTTGATTATTACACTAAAGTACAAAAAGTTAAAAAAGAAAGTCACTTTTAAGTGAAAAAATGCGGACCTTTTTTTTTAAAAACCATTTTAGCCACCTCCTTGGTGAGTGAAAAAACCCACCCCTGGTGAAAATATTGAAGTTTGTATGAACAATATTACATATATTAGGAATAGTACAAGAACATACCAAGTATATAGCAAAACCATCAGTATGAGCAGCCATTTAAATTTAAGGCCTTAAGTTATCTGGATCAAGATACTAAATATGATATACTAAATATATTGAACAAATATATTGAAAAGTTTATACATATTTTAAACAATATTAAATCTAAAGTTCCTAAACAACAGCAATAAAAATAGCATTTAAGATTTACTACAACCTTATTGTTGTCGGTTTAAATAAATGGAAACATATTAATATAAATGTTTAAATTTAATAAATGTTATATGACAAAACAAGTTAAATAACATGTTTGAAATAATAAACTAACTTTAAGATGTTTAAAACAGGCAAACAAGAAATGAAAATTAATTTGGATGACTTTATTTTTCTTTTAAAATCTACTGTTTAACTTTATCTACACAAAAAAGAAAAAAGAAATCTTACATCTCTAGTAAAATGACTAGTATGAGAACTTTTTGAAGGAAAGCAAACTGGAAACACTCTTTCCCTTTCTACTTTATCTCTTGACAAAGCATCTTTAATATGGTTTGAGAATTGCACTCTTCTAAATTTAGTATCCTCAGCAATCTAAAACAAAGTTTATTTTAAAAAGAAATAGCATAAATTAATTGGTTATATTTTAAGTTGACGCATGCATGTCTTGAATAGTTAGTATAGGACTGACTTAAATCTCATTTAAATAATAAAAATTAAACAAACAAAGAAATAAAACTTTAAAACCTGGGAACTTTTAAACTTTCTAAATTTTTATTTGAAAACTACAGTTAAATTTCTTGGTGACCAAGAAATTTAAATATGGCAAATAGCTTTTTGAAAAACTGTGATCTGATACCTAATAAGAAAATTAGACAAAAGAACAAAAATAAAAAGGTTTAGACATATAATCATTAAATACAGGAGCTATTTTAGAAACAAATTGATAAAGAAAAACATATTATAATAATAAATTAATTTTATAAACTTCTTTAGAAGAGGCTTTTCTATCATTCCCGTGCATACAATCAAGCAATTTACATCCTAAAACCATAAAGGGAGTACCATTAAATGATATAGAATCATCTTATTTTGATGTGTTTTGCAGAAGATTCTTTAAAGATAACAACAACAACAAAAATTTTTAATAACACCCATATTTCCATAGTTTTTAGCAGCACTATAGCATGAAAACTTTGATACAGTCTCTGTTTCGTAGCTATGTATCAAAAAAAGTACTTCAACGTATGTTTCTACAGTAACCCAACTTCCTTCTTGAGAAATAACAACTAAAAAAATTTGCTTGGTGTTAGATACAGTGAAAATTCACTGTACTTAAGGAAGCGTTTTTCGCTAAATACAGTGAAAATTCACTGTACCTAAGAAAGCGCTATTCGCTAAATACAGTGAAAATTCACTGTACCTAAATAAGCGTTTTTGCTAAATACAGTGAAAATTCACTGTACCTAAGGAAACGTTTTTCGCTAAATACAGTGAAAATTTACTGTACAGTGAAAATTCACCGTATTTATCAGAAAAGCTTTTAAGTTACAGTGAAAATTAGTTTAAAAAGTTACAGTACAGTGAAAATTAGTTTAAAAAGTTACGTACAAGAAAATTCACGAGGAAACTGTTAAAATAATAAAAATGTTGTTATTTTGAAAGGGAAAAGCATAATGCTCATTGAAATGTATTAGCTAAGTAACATAAAAAACCCAGGCGAGGAGTTGTTAATAGAGGGGAAGTAATTAAGGAATATATCTCAGAAAATAAATTGTCATATATATTTTTTTACCGTATATATATTAATTTTGTTGCAGGAGTCCATTAAATACTTATTATTAAAATTTTATTTATAAGTTCGCACTTATGATGATGCACACTCATGGCAGTGTTTGCAATATTTTTGGCGCACTTAATCCACTTGCACTTATGCCATTCTATGCAACTGCATCGCACTTATACCAGTTCGCACTTAAGCTGATGTCTATAAGTTCTTATGGTGCACTTATACTGATTTGCGCCTATGCCAGTTCGCAGTAATGACAGGTTTTGCAACTTCTTCGGTCTTAAGATAAAAATCAAATTCAGCTTTAAACCAATTACTAAGAAAAATCTTTTAGTGATAAATTAGAAGTTGTGAGTTTCAGTAATGAAACAAGTAATAGTCGTTTTTAAAGATAGACAACAGCGAGAAATTAAGTCAAGCTATCTAGCAACACTAAAACACGACAACACATTGATTACTTACAATAATAACACATAGCATCAGATATTTAACTTATAATAAATATAATCATTTAATAAAGTTAATATTTGTTTGTGGTCAAATTATATTTTATGATTATAGATGTTGTAAATATTAATTAACCATTGTTATTTTTTTTCCCCTGTTTATGTATATAATATTAATTTTTTCTTTTAAAATATTGATTTATTTTTATTATAATTTAAACCATTTTTGTTGCTATTGGTGTTGATAATTTATAACTATTATCTTTATAATTTTTATTTGTATCACTAATATTATTTAATATGATTATCGTTAGGTTTTTATTTTATATTAGTTTTAAAGTAATTGTAAGTATTCTTGACTGTAAGACCTTGTTCAGAAATATATATGATTGATACAATATAAATAGTGGATAAATAAGTATTATAAGTTTTAGCAAACATATAACATATATAAACATATAACATAAATAGCTACCACAAAAACGGTGTCAGCTACAGTTCCATTAATGCTTTTTTTAATAATAAACCCTCATAACAGAAAAACAGAAAGTGTTTCAAAATTAAGTCTTGAAAAAAGTTAAAAAGGTTTTTTTTCCTTTTTTTATGCATACAAAAAGGGAGAAGATACCACTTATAAAACAGATCGTCCAGGTCATAATTTAAAAATCCTGAAATTTCTTTGCGTACAATATACATAATATTTTTTCTCATATTTTTCTCTTAATTTTTGCCTTCAGCTGAGTTAATTTTATCATTTTTTTGTATGAGTGATGACTAAAAAACTCCAAACATTTACACAAATGCATACTTAAACTTGTATGCATTGAAATAATTGAGGATATCAGGAAAACAAAAAGTCTTGAAAAATACCCGGAATACCAGGAACAGTCGAAAAAAAATAATCCATGTATAAAAACTACAAAATCAATTTACCTGCTTTTTTTGATTTTGCTGCTGCTGATTTAGCAGTCGTTGTTTGGGTTATTGAAAAACATCGTGTGGTTTTAAGTAATCAATTTAAATTAAAGATGATATAACTTCTGTTTTTCTAATTAGTTTGTAGTTTTCAATTCATAGATTTTTATGGTTTCCAATATTTTCAACATAATGCAATGTTGAATATTGGGAGCAATAAAGATATAAGAAACTTTGAGTTTTGTACATATTAAAGTTGTGATAAAGAATGCAACTTTTTGTTTGCTATCAGACTAATTCATAGACTCATTCATAACTAAATTAAAAACAATGGTTGATTTTACAATTAATTAAAGTAAAATATTTTGTAAAGATGTAAACAAAAGAAATTAAATAAAAGGAGTAAAGCCTACGTGTCTGAATCTCTCTTCAACTAATCTAAAACGAATTAAGCAAATGAAACAGCACAAAATCAAATAACTATGCATAAATTCCATAACTTACAAAAATTACCTTCCACACCAGTGTTTAAATGAAAAAAGGCGAACATAAAGATAAAATACAAATAAACTTTCCTTAAAAAGTCATATTCAAAAAATTATTATCAACAACAACAAAACAAAACTTTTATGAAAATAAACAGGTACTGTACTTACTTTAACAGTGTCAACAACAAAGGATAATCTAATTCTCCAGCTCTACCTCATGGGTCTTATCTTATAACTCCCAAGAATAAATTATATGCAAATAACTTTTCCTCTACTTCATTCCTTGATTATAATATATTATACAGCTATAATGACTATAAAAAACTCTTCCTGTCTTACCAGAGAAACAGGTTAACCTTTTGTTAGACTTAAAAACATTGATAAAAATAATAATCTTTGAAACATTGCTAAAAATAATAGTTACACATTATTTCGCTTAATAATAGTTACACTTATTTTCATGATGTATTTTCAAAGTAAACTAATAAATAAAAATTAACAAGATATCATTCTGTAACATAAACTTTGTGTTGACTTTATGAAAAGGTATCAAATTAAAATAAAGCTGCACAGTAAAAATATCACTTTACACAACAAAATTAAAAAGTTCTAGAGTGCAATATGAAAAACAAATGAACGTTATCAAAGTTAAGCACTGAAAGTATCTTTATAAAATTTCTGAAACAAATTAAAAAAGAAAAATGCCTAACAACATGTCTAACACTTTTTTTCTAACTTTATTTTAATGCAGGAAGCATTTTTGTCATTTATAGATTATATGATACATAATATTACAATACATCATACAATACATAACATAATGTTTAAAAAATGTATCATGACTAATCAAAGCTCAAATAATGACCCATGAGGTGCAACTCTCACTTTCCGCCAAAACCTGATACTCTACCAAATAGCAGAAAAATATCTAATTAAAAAAGCTGATATTTTCTTCAAATACCTCTAATTCTAGCCTGGAATTACTAACTTTTAATTAAAAATCAAAAATCTACAAAATTCAGCAATTTGAAAACTCCAAAATCTGATTTAAAATAATGGTTTTTAAAGAAACAAAAATAATAATGAAATTTAATTTTTTCAAAGCTAAGCAATAACAAATATCAAAAACAATAAAATGTAGCTTGCAATAAAAAATATTTAGAGATTAGCAAAAATCATTTCTACATATAACAATTTTCAAGTGTAAGCTTAAAAAAGACTAAACTAAGAAACGCTAGAAAGTAGCATGGGCTATTTCAAAAAAAGTATTTTTAACTATCAGGTTCAAGAATTTTGCAAAAAAGGGACACTAGCTAAAGAAACACAAAGCTAATTGCCAATTAAAAGCTATTTTAAATGTTTTTATAATATATTAATTTATATTATAATATATCAAATAAATAAAAATAAATATGGAGTATGCTCTTTATAAATATTATAATATACTAACCGTTTCTATAAATAATAAATAATAAACATTTTAATATTTATTTATGTCGCTAAATAAATCAATATTAAAATTTTTTTTAAATATTTTATATTAGGATATGAACCTAAATTCCAATATTTCCTTACTTTACATTGAGCACAGAACCAATATCCTTTAGGTTTGCAAGATATTTGTAGACAAACATAATGCGACCAGTCTAAACAGTGATCACACTGAAGCCATTTTTGGTTTTTTCCAGCTGCCTTAGGCTGCCCGCATACTTGACACAGCGATTTTTCAATCCTCACATCTTCACACCGTTTAATGACTTCAGCCCATGCATCCTCTACAAAATATTGCTTAATGTCATCAAGACTTGCTTGGATCAGCAATCTTATTAGATAACTGCTTTAAAAACTGGCAGGTGGTAATTTTAGCACTCTCGTGTAAAACCTGCAGGGCAACTGTTCTTTCTACAAACCAACAGAGACGGATATGACCTTTTTCGAAACTACCTAATTTTTCAAACTCTTTTATAGCTTTGTCAAAAAGTCTCTGTTTGTTTTTACCTACACGACCAGGTGGCTTCCGCTGGGGTTGCCTTAAAACTAAATTTATATGTGGCTCTTGAGAGACTACTTCACATATTTCTTTATTTATGCATTCAAGTGGGGTAATCATAGGATCTGCACTTGAAGGTGATTTAACTTCTAAAATTTCTTTTGATGATAGATCTTCTGTAGATGTAAAACCTTCTAGACAAGGATCACTTTGATCTACTGTAGATGTAAAACCTCCTAGACAAGGATCACTGTGACCTTCTAAAGGTGTAAAAACTTCTAGACAAGGATCACTTTGAAACTAAAATAAACAAAACATTTTTCTAATGCAGTTCTTTAATGATTTGAAAACTGAAAGCATCTAAAATCCATTGACATACCATCAGTTCCCATTCACCAGAAATGCATTGTTGATTAATAGATTCTAACCAGGTTATTGCAAGTTCAAATTTTTTGGGTGGCATTTCAGCGAGCAAAGAGGCTATTGGTTGAAGGTAACTCATTGCTGTAGTAAATCTTTGTTTGGGAGTGGCACAACAGAGAGGTAATAATTCTATATTTGAGGTAATATGTGATGGCGCTTGGTCAAAACTTACCTGGTTTGCTACTGTATTGCATGAAATCCACCTAAATAAATTTATGTCAATGTAAATAATTTCTGTTATCCTAGTGTAAAGTAGGTTAAAAAATCTAAAATTTTTATTTCAGTATACACAAAAAAGAATTCTTCTAGCCAATTAAATAAAAGTAATTATTTCATTTATTGAACTATAACAGACAATCAATTTAGCATTAAAAAATGCAAATCGGGGATCATTGATACATCATTTCTTTTGCTTTTTAGATTACCTGAATGGCATGGTAACTTTTTAAACTAACTTTTTCTAGAATAAACAATGACTCAGAACATTTAATAAGTAATAAATTGCGTGCAACATTACAATACATGTTTTGACTACTAAATTGTAAATTGATTATTATTCAAATAAATTTTAATTTAGCAATCTATAACATAAGTAGATTGAAATTTAAATAAGGTCATGAAGTTATATAATATTACGAACCTTTATTATTATTAATTAGTAGAAAACCCAAGGTTACCTTTTATGAATCAACTGTAGATCATTAACAGTTACATTCTTCGTTCTTAGAGCAAAAAGAACATGAGCACACGGCACGCCAAACCCTGATGCAGCATCACAGATGCAAACCCAGTCTATTATGTTATAAAAAGTTGATTGCCGATCGATGATTTGTAATGAATCTCTGTCCTAAAACACCATAAAATAAGTAATGATTGACTAGCAAATCTTATTGGAAAACAAAAAATAATAAAAAATGGAGTACATTTAATAAAAATTATTAACCTCATATAAACTAAAATCAGACTTGACACTTTTATCATATTGTTCCATGAGATGATGAAGAATAAAAGAAGAAACATGACGTGAATAAAACTTTAGTGGCTCTGGAAGTTTATTGTTAATTTTTAGTTGTTGGTCAAAGTCTGCATGTTTAGATTTTTCTATTTGCACTCTATTAACCTTAAGAATTTTATCTATAAGATTTCCTGGTGACATGCGTAACAAAAGACCAACATCTTTAAGTGTTCTATGATATCTAATCAGAACAATAATTAATTATTATAAAATTATTGTAAAATAATTCATAAAAAAATTAACTTATTCGATCTAAAACTTTTTCCATTACAAGACTTTTCTATTAAAAATAATAAAGTCATCTTAAAATAAGCACCTTTCAAGTCTGTTATTAGTATGATTGTCTAAATGCATCAGACCTTTTCTATAGTGACCCATAAACATTTCTGGTATGGTCAGCCAGTTTTCTTGAAGATACACATAGAACGTAGGGAAATTTTTTTCAATATTTAACAAAGCTTCAGCGCATGTTGCCTGATTACCGTACATTAATTTCTGAGTAGCCTAATGAAACATTTAAATAGTTAAGTGAGAGCATAGTTGCATTTTTACAATAGTTTTATTCATAAATTTTCCAATTGTTAGTAAGATAAACAATAAAAATAACTAAAAAATAATATTATAATTGCAAACCTTGAATAACAATTCCTGATCGTCAGCAGTAAGTCTACCCTTTTTAATTTGATAAATAAAAGCTTTAGCTACATGAAAGCGACAGAGAAATATTTTATTTCCTGGAAAAACAGACTGTAGTCCAGATATTTCTTCTTGAGCTTTATCAACCATGAATATCGACTTTTGAAAAGTTTCAATCCCAGCCCATTCCTTAGCATGTGTCATTAGCAGCTGTAGATGTGACTGGTCCTCACGATAAACTTAAAAAAATCCACATTAACGACAACACGAACAATGGCATCAAATAATTACATAAATATACACCCTACTACAACACCCAGCAACACAGTAAGAAAAACATTCCCTTTATCACATTTACGTACTTAATAAGTAATACCATCACCACCCCACTATAATTTAGCATTTACTTGAACATTACACGCCACTATAATTCACCATTGAAAGCACCCCATACTATTCTTACACATTATGCATATTTAGAATTTATTATAGAGTCCAAACACACCGGAAGACATATTCCTTACACAAGACGTGTTCCGAAATCAAGAAGTTCTCGTGAACGTAGATAAATTAGAATTAGAAATACTAAGGCACAGTACCACCCTGGAACCCGAAGACAAAAAAGAAGGAGACACAACACAAAAAAACAAAGAACTAAGTGACAGCCAAATGCTAGAAACGGTAGGTGTAGTTCAAACCTTTACAACAAAAACACCTTAAAAACTATTAATTATAATAACCAACCCCTCATAACCAACCCCCTAGGGTCCGACTCCGTTATCTGGAAATTGTTGTGTTTATATATGTATGTACTTTGTTTGTGTATATCATTTGTGCGTGTTTGGATGCATAAATACATGCATCTGTATATGCGGACATGTGGGGATGTATGTGTTTGCATGCATATATGCACACCCTACCCAGTTACCCTCTTAGTATGTATAGACCTCTGTTTTATACATGGTAGTGTTCATACAGATATATTTGTATGTGCATATACATGTGCACATACCCAACCCCCTAAGATTCTAAATCAACTAGTAGTGTTCATACAGATATATTTGTATGTGCATATACATGTGCACGTACCCAACCCCCTAAGATTCTAAATCAACTCTCACAGTATTATATAATTGTGTAAGAACATATTATAATGATCTACACTATTCTGTATGACCTTATAATGCTCGATACGCACACCAGATGAAATAGGAGACTCCTCGGGTATGAGTTCATCACATATCTAAACCTCACGTGGTGACTAAGCTGTAGGCCATGGAGTTGTTTTAGTACTTTAACTTCTTCGAAACAAGCTTAGACATTCTGACATAGCCCTGACAAGATGAAGGTTTGTCACATGCCACAACTTTCGACCATTATGATGACCTCGACCCCGAACTCCACTCGCGCAGCACCTTCCCCTCAACTTGTTTTACTTTTATATTACAATAATTTGTACTACTAATTTACTACTAATTTATTACCTCCAATTTACGATGGTAATCACTATAGCTCTATAGCATAAATACTATGCATATCGGATATATTATACACGATATATATAATATTCTAGATATACATAAGTCTCTCTATAAATAATATAAGAAACTTATTGGTTTACCTAACAAGCATCATACTGCCACGAACCAACACCACTGAGCCAAACTGTGTTGCTATAATTGTACTGCACTCCGCACATAGTTCTTACAAAAATAGCAACAAACTCCACACTCTCATATATTCTATGAACATATGTTAAAACATATCTTATAAAATACTCTTAACAAAGATTACGATCACAAAGAACATAATTACATCAAAAAAAACTTGAACATTTAGAACACTACAAACACAAAGCACAATAATTAACACAAACTTACAGAACACTGAAACAACACTTACTTAAACCTAACTTAAAGAACACTTACTTAACTCTAACTTAACTAGTGAATAATATTCCCCTCTTTAACACCACCTCTTAATACTGGACATCTGTCCAAATATTATAATTTATCTAGCACTCTCTTGCACTTATATAATATATTTCTTTTTTCTCTTAAGACTCTTACGACCTGATGGTTCCATATCAGTGGTGGAACTTTAATTGCTTCCACTGCGAAACAATAGCAGATTTTATTTTTTTAATAGAGTTTTAGAGTGTTTTCAAAATATTATTTAGGTAAGATAGTTGTATTTTGGTAAAACCGCATCACTGGCCACCAGCGACGGATTCAGACATCCTACGGCCCGGGTGTTTTGTTTTTTTGGAGGCCTGTTTTTTGTGGAAAAACCTAAAAATAAAAAAATAAAAAAAAAGCTCCTCTAAAATATTTGGGGGCCCCTAATTTGTGGGGCCTGGGCATCATACTTTTCAAATTTTTGATTTTGAATTCGGCAGATGATTTTAATGGTGTCACTATATGTAAAAATGAACTTCCAAAATAAAAAAATTTGAATAAAAATTTTTTTACCTAGACGGGATGGCAGTTTTCGAAAAGGTAAAACTGTTCATTTATGCATAAATGCAAGAGAGGTCAAAATTTTAAAATTATTGAAATATGAAACTATTTAGATTTTTTTTATATATATTATTATATGCTGTGAAATGTAAATAATTTTTTTTTCTAAAAAAAAATAAATTTTTGCAGGGAAAAAGGCCTTATAAGATTGAAAAAATATGTAAAAATTGGAATTTTTTTCATAATAAATTTTCAGACTTTATTTGTTGGAATGAAATTTTTATAGTTCAACTTAACAACATCATTTAGCTTTACAATATTTAATACAAAACAAATTTAAGTTATAATATTGTCATAAAAATGTTTTGGTTTACGATTTTGATATGAAAAGGTTACTATAATTTTTTTTTGATTAAAGCTTGGGCAAAGTTTTTCTGTTACTCATTCGTGCTCTCACAAAACCGTCTCTTTTTTCAAAACCACAAACGGAAAGTGCTGCTTCTGTAACTTCTTTTACTGCCCTTTCACAAGATTGCTTGTGAAGAGGAAAGTACAGAGCTTCAAAGCGAGTGACCAGCTATTTGTCAAGATCGTATGTAGAGATTTGGCACATAAACACTGGTTCTGATATTTTTTCCTTCTCCCAATCTATTAGCTCTTTGATTGACAAAGCTTCTGTATTGAGAAAAACCTTTTTTCTTGACCTTACCGCTGTGTCTCCGAACTGCGAGGTTTTCTTTATATCTTTAATTGTTTTAATGGTAAACTTCCTCAATTCTTCATTTGAACTTGACAAAAGAGTTAATATAAGGGATTCCGAGCTGGTTTTGCTTGGCGGTATAGCTTTAGGTGGTGTGTAATGAGTGAGGTATCTTCCATCAGGCTCACACGTCACAGTTATATGTTCTTCTTTTATAGCCCTAATGTGAAATTTATTTAGAGGATTTCTAATAAAATTTCACATTAGAGGATAAATTTCACGTTAGAGGATTCTGTTCCAAAATAAAAGTTGAGTCCTTCCTGCCATCAATAAACAAACCTCTAATAGGTTCTTTGTCGATTAACTTTTCTTCATAAATTATTATTCTCTCCATTATCTCTTACTTTCATAGGATCAACAGGTAAATAAGACATATCAGGCATCAAATACTTTGCTTCAATAAGGTCTAGAAGAAAGGATGTAATAATAGCTGATGTTGCTACTGGTGAAATATCATATCTTATTGAAGCTTCTGCAATATGACTTATTGACATTTTTTTTCCAAATCTTGTTTTGAAGCGAATCTTCTGAAATCTTTTCCCTTTTTAAATCTGAATAATCCTCAATTAAACATAAACAACAATAATCCTCTATACTTTCTCTTCATTTTTTTCTCCTTTCGCAAAAACTGTCTCGCGGTCTCTTTAATATCATTGAAACCCATCTGGTATTTTGAAATAGATCCTCTTTTTTTCCTTTGGGCATTAAGCCATAGAAGTTCAACCTTTAGAATTTTTTTCTCTTTTACACAAATTCATTTAATATGTACTTGTTTGACGCAAGAATAAGTTTTCAAACACAACTCGTTACATAACATAATTTCACACTTGCACATGTTATATCTAGAAATTCATCCAGTTTTGATTCCTAAAAAGACACGTGTGTCTGAGAAGCTTTCCCATGTGCTACATTTTTGATCTTGTTCCAGGAAAACTCAATTTTTTCCATCAAAGTTCTTTCCAATAACCACTGGAGGTTTAAAAAGAGCATTTGCTTTCATCTACTGCTGAAAAACGATATCAGCTAGTAGTCGAGAAAAGTCTCTCAATCAAATATTCCTTCTAAAGACAAAAATATATAATATAATGCAAAATGTATAATTTGTTTCATAAACTTTGAGTTTCTTGATTATTACCTGTTAACGTCTTCTCGAAGTAGAGCTTCTTGGATAAGCAGACCTTTTCTCAAAATATCTCTTAAAGTTGGCACTTCTGACGGAATAAGATCCTTACTTCTGCCTAAATATGTTGATAACTTTGTTTCCATAGAGAGTCTTGTGTTTTTTGAAGTAGTCATAGTTAATTTAATATAATTATTAGAATTGGCATTTATATGATTGCAAATAAAAACAAGAACTCTTTGTATACAGTTTTTAAACCACGAAAAACTCATAAAAACATAATTACATAGTAAACTCATAAACTCGTAAAAGATAAACTCATAAAAACATAATTACAAAGTTGAATAGCCTGAAATCACTTACAATTCAACCGCCAAGTGAAATAACAACATCATTATTAACATACATTTTTAATTATAGTAATTTTAACTGATTTATAGAGACATAAAAATAAAGTCTGAAATTTTCTAGTAAAAAAATGCCAATGAATGTCCTTGTTATTTAAAAAATTTAACATTATATTTTATATTTTAACATTTTTTTTCAATCTTATAAGGCCATTTTCCCCGCAAAAATTTAACTTTTTTAGAAAAAAAAATTATTCACGTTTCACAGCATATGGTAATATATATAAAAAAATCTAAATAGTTTCATATTTCAATAATTTTAATATTTTGATTGTTTTGAATTTTGAGTTTAATGTCTTAATCAGGACAAATTGTCTTAATCAAATACATTCAGTCAATCAATATATCAATCAATATCAATAATTTATATTTTAGAATACAAAAGTTGTTACAACTCAAGGTCATTTACAAATAGTAATGAACTAATCCAAAGTAAATACCAGATATTAATGGCAATAACAAATAAAAATGAAAATAATAATAACAATAATAATATTATAAATAGTATTAAAGACATTCATTATATAAGAGTAATGTAACACCAAATAATAATAACTACATTCCATACATATGATAATAATAAATACAACACATACATAATAGCAATATTAAATAAATATTTATTAGCAAGAATAATAGTCATATAAACAAAAACTAAACTTAAATAATTTAAATAAATCATTACTAAATGCCACACAACAATCGTTTATACATACAAAGTTACAGTTAAAAACAGTAATAAACAGACAAAACGTAACAACTAACAATGATATAAAAAAAACTATTGTTTAAAAACTCTAAAGACTTAGTTAATATAACAATCATAATTGTTGTAATATAATAACCATATAATAATATAATTATTGTAAAAATAATAAATAAAATAAATAAAATAAAAACTGATAAAAATAAAACAAAAAAAACACACAAAAACATTATGAAACAAAAGAACTTATAACAACAAAAAAAAAAAAAACATAATAAACAAAACATTTAATGTAATAAAATAAACAACAAATAGTAGTAACAATAAAAAAGCATAAAAACAAGAAAAAAATCTGCTCGTTCGTTATTCGAGCAATAATTTTGTATTATTTCTTTTTTTTATTAATTTACTTCTCTATGTATTGTTATTTTTATTGTTTCTTTTGCTTTCGTTTTTTTTTCTTTGTTTCTTTCAGTGGGAAAAATATAATTGAAATTTTCAGTCATCTTTAGTTGTAACTATTTGACTGTTTTTTACAATACGGATTTAAATTTTGCTAATTAAAACTCTTGTACTTAAAGATATACGTGTTGTCTGTCACTTTAAAACATTTTATTACAATTGTATGTACAATTGTACATACAATTGTATGTACAATTGTATGTACAAAATTTGTATGTACAATTGTACATACAATTGTATATAATATTGCTGAAACTAATAATATTGCTGAACAAATTTCACTGATTGTGGAACACAATAATAAAAAATGTTGTGCTAGCATGCTATAAGTAGCAAAACATCATCTATTAATATCACAATAATACTATTAAAAGTGATTGTGAAACTTGTTCCGCTATCTTATTTATCTATTTCAGAAATTGTCACAGCTTACCTTATTATTACTGGTATTACCAATACTATCAATATTTACTATTATTATTATATAGGGCTTACCTACAACCATATATAGCGTTAAGAGGAATACAACATATCTGGGAACCTTCCTTTACTTTTTTATTATAGTGTTCAACTTTTTCTTTTGAGTCGATTTTGACGGGGTGAAAATTCATTCTACAATATTCAATAACAGACTTTTCTGCTTCATCAAAATCTCTAAAATTCTTCATGAAAATGTCCTCCATTTTTTAATCTTTAAGAATCTTATTGAAAATCTTCTAACTACTTAATTTTATTCAAGAACTCTTCGAAAATATACTCGTTGTTTTAAAGCATGCGCATTATGGAAAATGATAGTAAATTTTAAAAATATTCTAAAAATAGATTTTCACTGTACCTATCAAAAAACGCATCCTTAGGTACAGTGAATTTTCACTGTATTTATAATTAACGAAAAAATTTAAACAGTTACAAACGTAAAAATTTAAACAGTTACAAACGTGGAGATTGATACTTCATTTAAAGCGTGCTTGTAGAGGAAATTCCTTTTTAGACAAAATATTTTAAATTATGAATATAAAAAGCTTATATTATATTACTCGTTTAAAAACATTTGGAATGTTTTTAAATTTTTAAATTCCTCAGGAATGTCATTCCTGAGAAATGTTTTTAAGCGAGTAGTGAAACAAACATCAACATAAGCTTTTTATATTCAAAATTTAAAATATTTTGTCTAAAAAAGTTAAAATGTTTTGTATTACCTTTACTCAATGTTGTTTTTTCTAATAAATTTAAATTATTATTATCTCTAATAATAATTTTTTTACCAATTTAAATTTAATCTTCGACATTAACCAGGTGAAAACGCGCTCCACATTCAAAGAATATTAATTATTTCATAAATTAAATTATAAATGCAAAAATTAATTATGTTAACTCTGTCCTGGACGTAAAGCGGGATTATTGCGGAACAATTTACGGGACCTAACTTTACGCTATGGAATCATGTACTTTTAATTATTTTGGAATCATTTTAATTATTATGGAATCATGTACTTTTAATTATTTTAACTGTGCACGTGATGTAAACAAATATTTCAGCCCGGTTTAGCGGGCTGGAAAAAAATTAATAAAAACTTAATAACAATATTCATCTCACCGAAGTGAGACAGCCCGGCTAAATGGGCTAGCCCGGCTCATATAAACAGCCCCTTAGTTGCCATAAACACTTGGCCCCAAGTATTTTTTTGCTTAAAGGTATATAAATGAAAGACCTAATAAAAAAAATTGAATAAAAAAAATATGTTTTGAGGTTTTTTCTTGGATAACAAAACGTTAACAAAGAAGTTCCAAATAGGAAGAAATTTAAATATTATAGTCACAATTGTTTGATTTAACTAGCTACAAACATGCAATTCTTTACTGTGTCTTGTAATTTTTAATGAATCATATTGGATGGGATGTAAAAAGAAAGTTCATACTAACCGTAAATGTTAAAAACCAGCAAGGATTACGTTGATGGAGTTTATTTAATCGCAGAGCAATATAAGGGGGTAAAAGATTAAATTGAATATCATAACTTGAGCTTATCATAGAATTATCATTGGAATAAAAGATTAAAAAGAGTTTAAGAAGAAGCAAGAGATAATTGAGCGAAGCAGTAAAAAAGGAAAATGAGTTAGTTCAAATAAAAGACAATTATAATTAGTTGCTATGTGAAAAAAAATTTTGTGAAAAAAATATGAAGAGTTTTTTGGAAAATGTAATTATGAAGAAGGGTGTTCAAATAGTGAGTTAGAATATTCTTATTACACTTAACATACTTATGCATTTGGACAAAAGTGAGGATTTTAAATTAATGCAAAATTGTATGAAGATTCAAAATAGAGCTATTGCTGCAATTGATATAAAGTTTCAAAGGCTGCTGCAGCTGCATTTGCTTTTGGTTCCAAATCAAAGTTAAGTATTGTTGTATAGAAGGGTGAGGACACATCTTGAAACAAATCATCTTTATAAAACTTTAAGATAAAAAATGTACAAAAAGGTATTAAAAATAGTCTTGACCCGTCAAGTAAACAATAGTGAATTAGTAAAAAAATAATCCTGAACTGTCTAATGGTAGTTCCATATTTTCCGAATCACACACATATGTTGAGAGGGCAGTTAAAGAGGTAAAGAGGTTTTACTCCTAAATTTTAAAACTGTTTTATACTTACTTTAATAAAAGACATTAACCATTTATTAAAAGAATTTTTAAATGCTGATCCTCATCGAAACGCCAAATAAAAAGTTTTTTGCCGTCTAAATACCTAATGGCAAATAATCCTAAGGGCGGAGTTTTTATATGAAAGTTGAAAAGTACAGGATGTCCTAAAAGTACACTGCCATCGGGAAATAAAATAATCTCAGCATATGATCTTAGACTAGTCTTTTTCTTTGCAAATATCTAAAAAATATCACAATTGCCCACTATAAACGACGCCACTATTTTGCTGTTGTCACACTTTTATAAAATGAAATAAAAAATATTTTCTAACGATAACTTTATAAAAATACGTTTACATGGTTTTCACGTTACTATAGGGTAAAGAAGAAATAAACAAAAAAATTGAAAATGATATCCTTTTCTGATAAACACCCCCCTCCCTCTTGTCTTTTTTTGTCATTTTTTATCTCGAACCCTTCCTTCCTCTTTTGCATGAGGCAGATTTAGGCAAAGACTTTGAGAGGCGGATTAGGCAAAGACTAACATAAGCTGCAGCTTATAAGCGCTACTACAGCGAGGCCATGGGGCGTTACGAGAAAAAAAAGAAAAAAAAAGAAAGAGACTTTACTTTTTAACACCCAAACTTATTTGTTGAATACTGTTCAAATAATTCTTCAAGTATTTAATATTCTAAATTCGAATACTATTTGTCGTTATTCGGTAAATACTTAAAGTTTCATATTACTCCATGAATTAGCTTAAATAAAATTAAATAATTTTAAATTAGCGTTTTAATTTTATAAGATATTTTCTTTTTATAAAACGTCTATAATTCTAGAAATTAGGTTTTACAATTATTTTTCTTGCGCAATGCGCACCATTAACTGACCAGGGAAAGAGCGCTGCGAACACCATCGAAACTTCAGTCTACGGCTCCAAATTGTTAAATTGGCTTCTGATGACGTCCATTATGGATGGCCCCTCAGTAAAAAAAACTCGTTTTTGGTTCACTTTAAAAAACTTAAACACTTAAATAGTATGAACGTAAAATGAATGAACATCATAACCGACGACCCGAAGAGATTTCATTGTGAAACAGGAAAATGTAATTTGAATTAAAGTCTAATCAAGATTTTTCAAGATATTTATAAGATTTGTAGTTTTTCTCTCATTTATTTTTATTAAGATCTAAACAAGTTGTACAAAGAAATATTTTTGACAATACTTATGATCCTAAAAAGCTCTTACTAATTTATGTAACTTATTTAAGAAAGATCTTTCAGATCTATATAAGATTTGCATGATTCGCCGCTCTGCGACCCGATAGTTTGATCCTTTTTATTTGCATTTCTTTTTTTTTAGACTCATAACAACCTTCTTCAAAGCTAAAAAATTTCTAAACGTAGACCATCTAAAAAAACATTTTATTTTGCTTGCTGTGTTTCCACTCATCCGTGGAAATTACTTTTAAAACGTTGATCAATAAAAGAGGCAGCAATATAAAAGTCATTTTCATTAAAGTTAAAATTATGTTTCAAGTTAAGGTTGTAGTAAAGATTTCATTTTTAATAACTTTGCAATTCTTTGTGCTATATCTAAGTATTTTAACAATGCAACAAACATGACAACACCCAAAAATACCTCAGAAATGCAAGATATACTAGAGCTGGTTGTTTTTGTATCTTTTTTGAATGGTTTGAAGAGTATAATACATCTTTACATAACTATAATTGAAATTATTCGATGTAAAAATTAACAATTTAATCAAAGAAAACAAAAAACATGCCGAAACTTATTCCCAAGTGAAACAAATGCGCTTATAGCGTAGTTTACGCATTATTTCAATGAAGCAGGTTCGAACTCTCAAAATTAACAAGTGTCACCGAATATTCGGTATTCGACTAAAATTATTACTCGTGGCATCACTACAAATACTAATTCAAATCAGATGCATTTACCGCGGTCAACTATTTTGCAGTTTATCAAACGAATAATCGTTTTCTAAGAATTATGAAAGACTGTTGAAACAAACACGGTTTCAGTTGGTTGAGCGCATACATGTAAACATTCGCATGTTGTAGTTTCTAAACAAGTTTGGTTGATCGAATATTTACAAACTTAAAATAAATTTCTATTTTTGGTGGTATGATCTTATATTTTTAAGATATAAATGTAATTTTTTTATGTTCATACATCATACATACATTTTTCATACATAATACTTCCTAGTGGAGCTGATAAAGGTAAAAAAAAAATTATACATCAAAAATAAATTTTCGTTTCTTTTATATATATATATATATATATATATATATATATATATATATATATATATATATATATATATATATATATATATATATATATATATATATATATATATATATATATATATATATATATATATATATATATATATATATATATATATATATATATATATTGTTCTTTACAACAACATAGTATTAACAAGTTTTAACAAAATATAATATTACTATAACTTATTCAAACTTATTCATTCCAAGATACTTCTAATAAAGTGACATTAGAATACTTTTAATATATATTTGAAGTACAAAAAAAATTAAAGCATTATTACAATTTATATTGTGAAAAAAAAGAATAAAGATATAAATTAGTCTAACTTACGTAGTCGTGGGAAACTCGTAGAAATATAAGTTATGTTTTGTCATTGGTAACCCTTTTTATTAAACTAATGAAATACTCATATTTTTTTTATTCATAACTTGCTACATTTTTCAATATAGTCAGTCATGTTAAAAACATAACAGATGATAACATATATATGTTATACGCATGCGTATATGTTTTTTTATTTTTATAAATCATAACAATCATAACTCAAAAAACAATTTATTTGAGTTTAGTTGTTAAGGAACTAGTTTTTCCTAAAATAGGTATTGAGGTATTTTTTGAATTAATTTACTATGCAGGTAAAGACCACGTTTCTTGAATAGATTATTTTGGTTTATTCAAAATTTCGATTGTAGTTTCGGTAAAATATATACCGAAATATCGATTTCGGATTTGACTGTGTATTAGTTTAACGGTGGATTTCGGTTTCGGCCTAATTTCTGTTTTGGTCGGTCACTACTCTTGACGAAATATTTGAGTGAGACTTCTAATTTTATTAAATACATATAAATATGTATATATAAACATATAAATGTTTTGTTTTTGCTTAAAGACATTTTTAGAATGGGGGAATGAAGCAAAAACAGTAATTTCTTTGCTTAGAAAGGTTTTTGTGTAAAGTTTAAAAAGGTGTTTCAAGAGCAATGTAAGTGCTGGCCACCAATGAGTGAGTCTGGCCTGTCCATGAGTGAGTCTGGCTTTCTAAAAGTGAGTCTGGCCAATCTATGAGTAAATCCGGCTGTTTTGACCAATCTATTAAATTGGTCAAAATAGCCAGATTTTGACCAATCTATTAAATAGTTTGGCCAGTCTATAAGTATGTCTGACCAGTCTATGAGTGCGTATTTGTAGTATAAAGCTTCGATTACTTTCATTTAAAACTAATAGATGAATACGTTTTGATTTATTTTTTGTTTGCGTAAAAGTGTGAAATTTTTTGTTTCGCTAAAGTAAATCTAAAGACATAACGTGACGCGATTTGAAAAACGTTAAAAATTAAAAAAAAAAAATTTAAATTATGCTTATTTCTAAGATTTGCCCATAGACCATTAAAATTTATAGATGCGGCGTTTTCATAAATCTTTTGCGCCAAAAATATCTTAACAGTTTTACATCTTTTTGTGGAAATGTATACACCCTAATTGTAATTAATAAAAAAATATAAGATAAATGCAAATCAATATCGACTTAATATAAGATTTTTTTGCCACAAACTGACGTCACTAAGCAAAACTTTTTTTGGCTTCACTTTTAGATTAGCATTATATAGATAAAGCTTTAATTTATTTGCGACTTACCTTTGGAGTGAAACATATATCTATTTTAGTGTATTTTCTTTTTCTATTCAATTGATATGAATAAAATTGTATTCCTGACAAAGATTTAAAAATCAAACATCAGCCATCCCAAAAATATAAGTCAGACTTTGTTCCAAGCTAGAAAACATGGTTTACGCAGCAAACCAGCAAGCTAAATATTAACACAGATTTGTACAATTAATTGCAATATTTGAATTGAAATATTTTTGGCTTGCTTATAATTTTGTTATAAGCATGCCATCTTTAAGCCTAATGTAATCAGTATTAGCAAGAGAGAGTTTTAAAATAAGTCTAAATCTAAATAAAACTAACCAAAGTATAATTTACTTTTCGTACACTGGCCCTGTCGTTTGGAAACTGCAGTTAAAATTTTTACTTTTACAATCTGTTTAAAACACTTTTACAATATGTTGTAAAAAGCGTTTATGTTCAAAAACATTCCTTTCATCCTATATATATTAGCGAGTTTTTTTTTATTATTTTTTTAATTTTTAAAAATCATTTCAAACATTCTGATGTAAATAGTTTCTCTTTACGAAAATATACAGACTTCTTTGAAACTGACTTATTTCTTGAAGTTTATTTAGTACTGCACTTAACCTTTGTCTTAAAAACATAGAGTGAGTTTAAAAAACACTCTAGTCACTTAAACATGTTATACTCATGCCTTATACTAACGCCTTAAAAAAATTTGAATTATTTATTTTACCTACTTTTTATTTTAATGTAGAGCTGCAATGAGACTGTTTACTTTGGTTGTGCTGACCGTTGCTACGCTTGCTGTCAATTGTCGGCGTAGCGATGTTAAAGTAAAGAAACCTACAAGATCGTTCGTATCAGATATCAAAGAAAAATACGAGTTCAATAAAAGAAAAAAAGCGTGTGAAAATAAAAAGAAATCCGGAGAGGTATGTCTTTTCATCATTTTAAGTGCTTCGCCATTGTTTAACTAACAATTCTTTTTAAACTTGTCTAAACAAACATTTTCGTAAATCATAATTGATAAAAGTATCAATCTAAATCAGAATATGTTATGCCCCCTGATGAGGCCAAGGAATATTTGCCAATTTTTTTTTGCCAATTGCATTTAGTATCCTAAAAAAAATATAATAACTTGTTTTTTTTAACTATAAAACCTACTTAACGTCCTGTTAGTTTTCTTTGGATTATCCTTACACGTAGTCGTCTTTCTTTTACTACCCATCCTTTTATTGCAACAATATTATATAATTTAATATAATAAAATTTACCTTAATGATATAGTTTTCAATTTTTCAACTGTTAACATTTAAAATTTATTCTTTTTTATGTCTGCTCACACAATTAAAAAAAAAAAAAACTATTTCCTTAGGTGCCAAGTGGTAAAGTTGATTCACCTATTCTAGCCTACGGGTACCCTGACTTTAATCAAAAAACCAAAAGTATTACAGTAGACCCTAAAGCTACACTTATACTATCCAACAAAGTGAAGCAACCAATTAGAATTGGTTCACGCGATTACGTGATATCTGGTAAAGCTAAGGAACTTGTTGCATTTTTTGAGTGCTTTGGAGATTATGATATTATCGGCTCAGAATTAAATGCAAATGGCAGCTGGCCTGACAATACAGGCCAAATAAAGATTGAGCTTCAAAATATTAATCCAGGGAACGGAAACTTCGATAAGACTCTTTTTGAAGTCATGTTTGATATGGCTATGGACGCTATTCTAAAAGTCATTGATCCAACAGGAATTGTTGCGTCAGCATACGAAGTTGAACAGGCTTTGAAACCCATAGTGGATTTTTTACCGTCACCATCTGAGTTTATTGCAAAAGCGAAAGAAATCTATGTAAAAAAGATATCTAAAAATGAAAAGAAAAAACTTATGCTATATTGGTTAAAAGAGCAAGACAAGATTACAATGCGAATGTGGAAAAAACCGGAAAACGTGAAAAAGGGTGACAAGCTTTTGATGTCATTGGTCATGTATACCAAACCAGAAAAAACGGTACGTGCTACATACAACACCGCTCAGTCAAAAATTTCAATGAAAGATATTGCAAAAATTTTGAAAGTTTTTTTTAAGATTTAATGTATATATGATCTAAATAAAATATGAGTTTTCTATGAGGGTTTGAAGCCAAGGATCTGTTAATATGGCAGTTTTACCGGGTAACCAGAATCATTTTGTTGATATACCCTGCACCGGGTATCTTTAAAAATATTTTTAACCGATATAAACTTTAAGTGCTGTAACTAATAAATAATAAATATAATAAAACAAATTTTGTTTTATTAATTTGGTTTAAACTGTTTAGAAATATTATTAACCAGATAAAAAATAGTGCTTCAACTAATAAACTTCTTGATAGTTTCAGAAGTTCATAATTCCTATGTACTAAATCTAAACTCGCTTAAATTGCGTTTTCGGATATATTTTTGCTATGATGTATTGCAAAACATTGATTGCTGATAATATTTCGAAAAAGAAAATGATTTATAGAGATATAAAAACCGTCAAGTAAAACAAAATAACACGAGAATACGAAAGAAATAAAAAGAAAAAGAAAGAAAACAAATTAGTAACTGTTTCTTTTTATTGCTTAGAACGCGAGAGAAAAATACCATTTTTCGCATGTTTAGCAACAAAAAATAAATAAAAGTTTAATACTTTGCGTCAGTCGTTTTTAAATAAGGTTTTTGTTAAATGATCGTTTACAATAAATAAACTTTTAACCAACAAGACGATTTTCATTTAACCAACATAGGCGATTTTCAACTGAATTTTTTACATGAAGTTCAGGTAGTCGGACGAGAAATCAATGGTGTTCCCAGGGCCGACGACACGGTTTTTAAAGTGGGGGCACACTACCTCCATTTTGAAAAAAGCTCCTTCAGTTTTTAATAAAGTTGTCAGTTTTTTAAAAAACAGAAAGAAGGTTCACACAAGAAAAGTACGGGGAGGAGCTTGCTCCCTTAGAAACGAAAGATGGGGCGCTTCCTCTTGTTTCTGAGGCCAGCAATCGTATATTGCGCCACGGCTACTAAAAACAAAGAAATATTGGAAAATATGAAGGTGTTTTGAATTATTCTGTAGTCGTTTTTAGAAATCTAAATTCTGTTTAAATGAAGTTTTTAATGAATATATTTATTATTTTATTTATTTAAACTTTCATGCTATATATTTTTGTATAACAATGTTTTATCCGAAGATATTATTGGCTTAGCATGGGACCAGCCACAAATATTCATTAAGACTTCATAAAAATAACAAATAACAAAATAACAAAAAGCGCAAATATAAAGATTTTTACTGAAAGGTTGGATAAATTAGAACTCGATCTATCTACAAACAAAATAAAAACTCCTATAAGCCTGGAATGACTGTGAAAAAAAGACATTTTCTCAAAAAATCTAAAAATCCCTAACGAAATAACAATTGCACAAGCTCATCGATTAGGTCCAAAGAAAATAGGCAAGCACCGAACAATCTTCATAAAACTATTAAACTACAAAGATAAAAAAAGAATTCTCTTTAACAGTAAAAATTTACGTGGAACTGGTATTTTTATCAATGAAGATTTCGCTAAAAAAACAATCGAAACGCGAAAAAGACTCTAGGTTGAAGTACTAAACTTACGTAAAGAAGGAAAGTATGGTATTTTACAGTTCGGTTATATTTATTGCAGAGAACTCAACAATTAAGTTTCAATCAAAAGAAACTCTTTTATAGGTAAACTTGTTAAAAATGAAGGGCTTTAATAATTTTAAAAACCAAATTTTTAATTTTTATAAAATAGATTGCATCTCAAATGAATTTTCAGATCCCGACACTGACTATTATTATGATTTGCTCAGTTTCTTTTAAAGGATAATGTAAACGCAAGCGATAAAATTAAAATCCTTCACTTAAATATTAGAAGCTTAAATTGCAATTTTGACATACTTTGCTTAATAATAATTAATGGCGTTAAGTCTGGAACATCTTCAACACATAAACTAATAAAGGAAACAGTTCTAAGTAGTTCTACATTATATTTGCTGTTTGATCATTATTTGTATAATGCTTCAGTGACATAATTATTATAGATTTTTTACTAAAGTATACAGAGCAAAAGTTTCAAAAAAAATTTTAAACATATGAGCATGTAAAATTTGATGGAAAAAATTTTGATAATTATTATGTTTTTTATTTCTGCAACACCATACATAGTGCAGAAGAATTTAAAAGCAAAACAAAGACATTTCGTTTTTTATTTTGTAACATATATATAAAAAATATATATATATTACAAAAAAATATGTGGCTTTTTGAATATTTAATTCAACATATGATTGGAACCGTTATTGCACTGTATTACTATCAGCTTATTTATTATTAAGATAAGATTTAAATTTTTAGCAGCTATATTTAAAAAATATATATATATCGCTGCCTAATGTGTTTTGAATGATAAAAAAACACTGGTTTTATAAATGTTTTGAAGAAAAATCATTTTTTGAGTCCCTTAAACATATAAAGAGTTCCTATTATTATCAATTAAAAAAATCTTCAAAAGTGTATCTTGACTATCTTTCGACTCAAATTAAGCAAAATCATAAAAATTTCAAATATGAATAAAATATTGCCAAGAATTGGTAAAAAATGGACATTTTTCTTTTTTAGTTAATAAAATTCATTTTTTATGGTGTTAAATCTAACATTGAAATTTTCTTCATTTAAAACACAACATTTAATTTTGCTTCATTTAAGACACAACATGATACACTCAAATAAAACATAATAAGTTCCTAAATAAATAAAACATAACAAGTTCCTAAGGGTCATGAGGGAGTCATCAAAATATTTTTTATTCAAAAATTTTCAAAAAACAATTATTTGTACCTGAAATGCAAAGATTTTTTCGGAGTAAAATTCTTTGCAAGTAATATAAAAAACAGGTGAATAAAGACCTGCTTGTTATGATGCAAGTATTTTTTTTAAGTTGTATTAGTGCATATATTTGCATATATAAACTGTTTAAATGCATATATGTGCATATTTATACTTAAAAAATAGGTTAAAAAATATGTTAGATTTAACACCATAAAAAATGAATTTTATTAACTAAAAAAGAAAAATGTCCATTATTACCAATTTTTGGCAATACTTTTTTAGAAATTTTCATATAATTATGCTTCACTTGAGACCCATTATGATATAATTTATACATAATACTTATGATATGACCATTAGGATATAATTTGTACATATTACACTTATATAATTTTTTTTATATTTGTTAGGAACTTGTTATGTTCCTAATAATTATAAAAAAAAATTAAGGTCTTTAGGGAGTTATCAAAACATTTTTTTTTTCAAAAATTTTTAAAAACCAGTTTTTTTTTATTATATAAAACACATTAAGCATATACTGTTCAAAAAAGTTTTTTTTAGGAAAATCCTATCAAATGATAATATTTTTTTAACTTTAGATAAATATGCTTTAACTTAATGATGTTTTTCTTGCTATTGCTTCAACTTTATTTCAATATAAAAACTTACTTTTACTGTTATAAAACTTTCCTAATAAATTGAAGTATTTTTTACTTTATTATTTTTGTTACTATATATATATATATGTATATATATATATATATATATATATATATATATATATATATATATATATATATATATATATATATATATATATATATATACATAATTTTAAAAGAATATAAGTCAGAAAAATAGTAAATAACAATATAGTTAATGAAATTGCACTTATATAAGGAAATAGTCATAACAGTAAAAACAAAATTTTATATGGAAAAAAAGTTGAAGCAATGACCAGAAAAATATCATATATATAGAACATATTTATCTGAAACTTAAAAAAAAAAAATATTGAAATCCTACAGTCAGATTTTTAGAAAATTGATTTCAAATAAATAAACAAATCTATGATTTACACTAAAAAAGTAAAAACACAGTTTTAGCGCGCGTTAAGTAAAAATACAGTTTTAGCGCGCAAAGATTTTTGTTACCTCTATTTATTCATAATTTTGTAAAATTTTTGCATTATTTTATTGGTTTACGTTAAAAATAAGGCTATATCATGGGCTTTTCAGAAATTAATTACCAAATAAACTGTTGCCATATAAAATAATCTCTTTAGTTAAGAACTGTAGCCATTTTAAAAGTTCAAAAGTTTTGCTTATTTTCTTACGCATGCGTTCCTAAACATTGCGCTTTTTACTAATATCTAAACGACCATGGAACACTAAATTAACTTAAATACTAACAAGACTAAATGGATTCTTTTTCATTCCTTTTCAAAAAAAACGTTCTTTAAAAGAAATATTATGCCTCAAATTTATACTGATGAAACTCTAATAAAAAGAGATTCTGTTATAAGATTCCTAGGTGTTTATCTTGATGAGAATATTGCTTGGAAAAACCATATTAATCACATAACCACCAAAGTATCTAAAAATATTGGCATTTTGTATAAATCCCGACCTTACTTAAGCAAAAAAAGCCTTACGCAGCTCTATTACTCATTCATACAAAGCTATATAAACTACGCAAATATTGCATGGGGTAGTACCGAAAAAAGTAAACTACAACGTCTATATCGCCAACACATGCGATTCGCGTGATTAATTATGTGGATCGCTCTACACATTCAAAACCTTTCTTTGATGAAATGAAAATACTTAATGTTTACAAACTTAATGTTTTCAATGTTTTATGTTTTACTTATATGTGGAAAAACAATTTATCCCTACCCGTTTTTAACAACCTTTTTACATTAAAACTTACTAATAAGTACTCACTAAGAAATAAAGATTTGCTAAATGAACCATTTTGTAGAACAAATTTTAATAAATTTTGTATTAATTATAGAGATCTATTATAATAATTAAAGGATCAAAATTAGGCAGAACTATTTTATTACCTTTGGAATAAAATAGTTCTGCCTAATTTTGATCCTTTTATCCGTTTTTCTGTTTTTAAAAATGAATTAAAAATTTTATTCTTGCTATGGATGACATTTTTAGTTACTATTAGCTTGAAGTATAAACTTGATTTATGAGATTTATAATAATATTTATATTAATAAATTTATTTTCTTTAATTTATAACAGATCTA